GTAATCAATATTTAATTAAAAATTAAATAAAGATGACAATAGAAGAAATTAATTAAAAGATGAACTTAAAAATTATGAATAAAAATGCAGTTAGGTTTACTTACCTCTGATCCCCCTTAAGTTAATTAAATTAATTCAATAAAATTCTAACTCTCTTGTTATCAAACAATTCATCGTCTAAATAATAATTGGTTAAATCCCTAATGTCTTAGTTATTTAACCTTTTAACCTAATTAGAATCTTAATTTCTTATAAATCCCTTTTAGATTAAGCCTTATGCATAAGGAATCTCATCAGGTTGCAACTTTCACATGTCTATGTCTAGAACATGTGTTTATTCTTGTCTAGATTAAGATCTCAATATGTCCATTGCGAACTCTAACCTTCATTATTCCTATATGGTTGATTAAGTCATACAAGAATTTAACAAATAATTCAGAATAAACAAATAACAATTGAGAAAGATTTTTATTAAAAGACAATTTAAATCAACATAAAAGTTTTCATTGGATCCATATCCCTAACTACAAAGAATATTAGCGAGACATATCTGGCTTAAATAAAACAAGAAAAGAAATTAAAATAGATGAAATGAGTGAGGGAAGAATGATGGTTGATTGCCACTATAAAGCTTTAATATCTTCCTTCAATCTTTGTCTTGAGCTCTGATCTCTGAATCCTCTTTGGTCTCTGTTTTCTACCGTTCTAGAATATGCAAGAATGATTTTGTTTCCAAATTTTTCTCTTTATATTGAGGAGAAAATTTTCTTAAAAACTCCCAATCAAAGCCTTAAAATCTTCCTTTTATATTTAAAGGAAAAGTTTCCTTAAAAATATTCAAGAGAGTATTAATAAGATCTTCAATCAATTATATGATTCAAAAATTCAAAACAAATCCACTTGAGCTCCAATTTATCTTTTTATTAAGCTGAAAATTCCTGCAAAATATGAGAACTTTTTATGAGAATATTACTAAGAGTAAAATAACACTTTAGTTACAATTCTCACATTTTTTTGGTTATTTTTAAATCAGTTTCATGCTCATTTTTACTTTTAATACATAATAAATTGGAGGCTCATCAAACAAAGCTCATAAGACAAGGGTATTTCATATTTAAGATTAAAAAGAAGAAAAACAGGTAGAAGAAGAGTAAAAAGGAAGAATATACCACCTTGTAGACAAAAAGATTGTTCCTTTTTTTCTTAAGAGGTTTTTCAAAAAAAAAAAATTGGTTCAAGAAAATATATTTTTTGTAGAAGGCTATGGATTTTGAACATGTCATTGCAGATTTTTGGTTAGAGCTTCGTGCTAATAACGTGTTATGAACTAAGACATATCAGATGAAGGAAATTTGCATGTGAGAAAAACAATTAAGGTATCAAATCAAGAAAAACGTACAAGAGAAAAACAAGTAGAAATTAGAGAGAAATTAGGAAGTAATTCAAGAGAAGATGAGAAATGTGTTCAGGAAAAAAGCTTAATCTCATTAACAAGATGGTATCCGTATATAGGATTATAACTTTGAATGGTAATTAAACTAATATTGAACAATCATAAATTGGAGAATAAATGTCAATGGTTTTCAGAATTCAAATTTGAATTACCGTCTCAAAATACAAATTGAAGTCATCCATCAATATTTTGTAACACATTGGACTTTGTCTAAGATTTAAAAGAGAGATTCTTAAATTTTCATTTAGCAAAGGATTTTTCAATATGTGTCATACATGAGGTATAATATTAAAATATAATTCAAGAGCTGAGATAGAGATAGTTTATAATCTTGTATGACTAAGACGATACAGAATAAGATTTTTCTTACTTTGATGTCGCTTAAAAATATTTGAATTCAATGGTAGTTGTTAAGAAGTCAAAGTAGACAATCATTCATCGATCCAAGGTTAACAAACAATGTCAATTCGTATTGATAAAAATTATGAAAAAATGGCTCTTTTGCAAATTCTTAACTCATGTGTTTATTTATCCAATCATATTTAGTTAGGATGATTTAAGAAGTTATAAGTAAAAAATTGTATAAAAGGGGTTTTTGTTACTCTTCACTCCCTCTTTTTTGGAGATATTTCAATTAGTTTATCGTTTCGCGACTAGTCCAATTTGGGATGAGTCTCGGGATTAGGGCTTTAAACCCCTCCCAAAAATGATACTGGAGAGGATCGAACACATGCTCTCATCCTCACCTACTCAGTTCCCTAGCGCTAACTGAGCTATCATCATTTAGTTGTTACTCTTTACTATTAATCTTAAGGGTGCGATTAAAAAAGAAGTTATAAATGGATTCATTTTTTCTAAAGTTACTTTAGAAAAATTTGTCAGATGTTCATCGAAACGACGTCATTTTGGGACGAAAATCATTATGTATTTGTGATTTTAATTTATTTCAGAATTTTAATAGTCTTTATCATTCTAATTTTTTTAATCTTTCAACCCCAAAACTATGTCATTTTGATGAACACTAGACAAATTTTTCTAAAGTAACGTTGGAAACTTTATTCCCATTATAAAAGCTAAGGTTTCTAATAACGGTGGAAAGGAGGACGAAGTCTTGAAGATTGGAGAATTACCCCACTTTTAATTTTATGGGTGTGATTAGGGCTTTTAGTTTGAGTCAATGTTATTAAATCTGAACCGGTCGGGGTACTAGGTTACTGGGTCACTGGTCAAATCGGTTGTCCTTAATATATATAAATATATATATATATATATATATATATATTTATATATATAAAGATTTATTAATCTCCTTTAATAGAAGATAGCTTGCATCATGCCATAGAAACATATTATGTGAGCCCCACCATTTTTATTTATTTTTTTTGATAACAGCCCCACCATTTTTTAAAAATAAAAAAAGAATGGCACAATTTTTATGCCTCACTAACATAAGATAATTGTCTCATGTAAAAGGAGACAATTTAAACCCATATATATATATATATATATATATATATATATATATATATATATATATGAGGTAAGATCCTTTGACACGAGTGTCAAATTTCAAATTTGACACCTCATTTGAGAGTCATTAGATCAAAAAAGATCAATGGTGTCACATGCTTGCAAATCAGAGTCGTTGATCTTTTTTGATCTAATGGCTCTCAGATAAGGTGTCAAATTTTAAATTTGACACTGATGTCAAAGGATCCTACCTGTATATATATATATATATATATATATATATATATATATATATATATATAGGTTTTTATTAGAGTTATGTTGTAGGAAAAGTGATTGTGTAATGTTATAGAGATTCGTTTTGCGTGCCTTAATTTTTTATTTATTTTTTTGTTTTAAAAAGTGTGGGCCCCACAAAATATTGTGAGTGTAAGAAAGTTTGTTGTGTTATGTTAAAGGATAAAATGAAAACCATATATATATATATATATATATATATATATATATATATATATATATATATGGGTTTTATAATTCTCATTTAACATGAGAATTCAAACTTTCCTACACACCTTTCGATTTCCGTGCTGACATGGGTCCTACATATAATTTTTTCTAACACATGGGTCCCACATGCTTTTTATCTCTACAACATGAGAATTCAATTGAATTCTCATTTAACATGAGAAAATCAAACCCCTATATATATATATATATAAGACAAGATATTCTTACACCGGTGTAAGAGTTAGAAGTCTTACACTCAATCTTGAGCATTGATCCATTTGTCTTCAATGGTTCACATTACTAAAAAATTAGAGCCCTCGGATATAAGTAGGCTCAATGATCAAGATTGAGAGTGTAACTTACACGGGTATAAAATGATCCTGACCATATATATATATATATATATATATATATATATATATATATATATATATATATGAACATATAAATTTAATTACATTCTCCATATCTAAAATGAGTTAAACAATGTTTACTAAATAAGCTAAAAAAAACTACCAAATCTCACTCTTACAAGTTCATGAAGCACGAATAAATGAAAATGCACGTTATTACTATATTAATTTAAATTGCAACTCAGAATCCTGATAAGCATACTTCTCAATAATATTCAAAAGGTCAGATGTTGTGAACTCATATTTTTTAAATTCATCTATATTGAAATGACATATGTCACATTCTCTTAATTTATTGTTCCACAAATTGCTTCAGTATTAGAAGCTGAAATTTGATATCAGTGTAGAAGAATATACCACTAGCAAATAAAATTACAAAAAAATTTAAAATGAGTTTTGCATTTTTTTTTCTTATAAGATGAAACAATTTTGTACCACCAAAAAAAAAAAGGTGAAACAATTTTGGTTTTTTTTTTTTAAATGCATGACTCAACTGGGTCACCGGGTTTTGACCGAGTCTGATGTATGGCCGGTCCGATGCTTGACTCAAACTGGTTCGATAACCGATTCATCAAATTCCGAGTCAGGCCGGATTTCACAACACTGGTTTGAGTTTTTAATTCTATCCTTTTACGGATAACTAAACCATGATCGATCTTGTAATTTGATTTTAGATATTTTTAATTTCAATACACATAGTTTGTAATTTTCTTCATTTGTATTTGTTTTATTATGCTAATCACATGTTAAGATTTTATCATCCTTAATGTGAGTTAATTAATTGATTAAGTATTGACCATTCACTGATATGTAACACAAACTAGGGTTAAACTGTGGTTAGAATTGTTGAATGACCAAAAAAATTTTCCACCAATTGAATAAACCATTTATCCATTTAGGCTATTAGCCTCTTTGACTATGATGTTTTTATTAATTAATTAGTAAATTGTGACCATTGATTGCTAATAGAATTAGCATAGCTAATTGACTTATGAAAAATAACTACTTAATTATAAATAAATTAAAAATTATACAATTGAATACAAATGAAACTTAATGAAACTTGAGTCCTAGGCACTTACATTAGAGAATTCTCCTTTCATTGCTTAGAATTCTCCTTTGGGTCAAGTGAGTAATGTTATTATTATTAAAGGAAAACGATGATTCCAACAAAACAAATGGGAGAACAATGTTGGTATATATACCCAATTAACCATTATTCAAGTAATCCAAGCGTTAAGTTCTACAAAACCTTTACCAAGTTGTTAATACCCTATTTTCTTCCTCTGCTACTGGCCATTTTTCCCTTTTAGTTAATGCATAAAACAACAGTATATATATTTTTTCTGCCAGCTTAACTTCTTCGGTACATCTGAAGACACATCTTGGATCAGAACTTGCTTGTTACTGCATGTTGTTTGGTCCACAGTTTCACCATTTTCCAAAGAATATGAAGCAACCTGGTGGCTTGCCTCTATAGGTCTTGAAAGATTCTGCTCTGATGAAGTTGTTACTACTTTGCTAGAATCTACTTCATTTAAGTTAGGATTTGTTCCAATGTACCTGAAGGAACCAAAAAAAAGAATCACAACATGAATTGATTCGATTGAATATAAATTCATGATCAACAACATCATGTACCACTTTGCAGAAGTGGATCATCTCATGTAACACGAAATCACGAGGGAAGATCTTAACCATCCAGATATAAATCAACAGTGATGGGAAAATACATTAAAAACTGATGGTGAGAAAAATATAACCATTGATTTGTATCATAATAATTTTGACCTCATATAACATGAGAGGATTTATTCCCATGTAATTTCCGAACAAACCATATGCAGGAAACAAAATCATACACACAGTCGTACATTCCTTCAAACAACCATAGAAATATAATCACCTGATGTTTTGGAGGCCAGAGTTAGTACCAGGTGCTTCTTGTGAAGTCCCCTCCAGTATATCTCCATTTGGTACTTCAACACTAACCTCATTTTCAGAAAATGGCTGAATAGGTTTTGCAGAATATAAATCAACTCTACCATCTTTTTTCATGCAAGGGGACTCTTCACCGGCAAAACTAGTAGAGGCCATGCGGGAACGAAATCGATATTGCCGCACCATTGAAATGGCCTTGTCTAATGTTTCTAGAGCCTGCTCAACCTCTGAACGTATATATACACTCCTCTTGCCTTTTAGTACACTTGCATCAACTTCCTTATTTGAAATTTCATTTAGTTTCTTATAATCCTCCTCACTTTGTTCAATCACTTCCATATCTACTCCAATCTCATCAAATGCTTTGTTATTATCTAGTACTATTTCATCCATTGACATTGACATGACATTGTTTGCATACTGATTGCTTTTATCCTCCTTAGATACATCTTTTGCCCCACCTTGCTTACTTTCAACAAGATCTTCAGCTGGGAAACTTCTTGCAACTTTCTGAAGCTTTCCATCATCCATAGTCTTTGATCCACTAGTGCTATATAGAGCTTCACGAATTCTAGCATACAATGGGGCCCCTAAGGCCTTGCTGAATTCTTCTTTATCGTGTCTCATCATAGAAGCAACAGTCTATAACATAATCAGGGGTTGATTAATGTCAAAAGATGATGGAAAACAGCATCAAATAATAATGCAATGATGCAAGCATGATTTTTACTTTTATATAAGCATGATGGAGCAGACAATGACATATCAGCTGAATACAGCTTTCAAACTAGCCATTGCAATTAAAATAGAATGAGTTCAAAAAGCCAGGGTAAATCCTACTTTAAAATGGTGTAATGATTGAAGAATCCTTGTTAATGAGTTTCAAATTTTTCTTTTTTGCTGCTTTATGGAAAATATATTTTCCTCTTTTTCTTTGTAATCCTTCTTTCCATCTAATAAAAATAACTTTTATCAAATATAAAAAATAGTAATCTAATTAAAATAATTAAAGAATCCATGGGGCAGATGCTTTGATTATTGAATATGACACCAAATGCACTATTACATTTACTTTTTAACTAATTTTTCTTTATTAAAGAATTGAGTTATCTCATTAGATGGATGCAGAAAATAAAAACAATTTTCATTGAATGCCTAATAAAAGAAGTATATCGGAAAAGAATCTACAACCTTTTGATAAAGTATGAAACCATTGCCCATGAGCTGCCTTGAAATAAAGTTTATAAGGGATGGAGGTACAAAATCCAGCTTTATATCCATATTTGCTATTGTCCTACAAAATTTGAAAAAATGTGAAGTCTTGAATAGGATTGCTAATAAAAATAAATTTTTTTGTGATATTTTTCTTCATTTTTCACCACCTATTGAAAAGTCAAGCCAGACAGTTAATCCATGAAGCCAGTTTACTTTCATATTTGTTTTAGAAACTAACAATATAGGTAACTTATAATGGAAAGTTGAAAAGCTATCAGTGGGAAACAGTAAAGTCACTTTAGACAGAACAGAACAATCAAACCAGATGGATAACCATTCACAAAAACACCAGAATGCCAAGGTTGTACAAAATAACAAACAACATATATTATCAAAAGTAAGAACAACATAGTTCCCTGACTGATCCTGCAAGTCAAAACCCATCATAATCAGAATTTTCTAATAATTGGAATTTTATTATTACTAACCTATAATGCCAAATACCCAAAGCCCAAGATGATTTCAAAAGCAGGACTCAAAACTAAACATTATCTTTATCCCGAATTAGTTGGTAACTTGGTATCGGAGGTCGATGAATCCAAAAAAAAAGAACAGGTAGAAAATGTATTTAAGACTAAATTCCTTAAACAAACAAATAGGGTGGCTGTGAAGATGAATCAGAGCCATCAAAGGTTGATGGACTGGTAGGATTGAATGGGAAGGATGTTAGGCAGTCAGTGAGAGCCAAAATGTTAAGGCAACGAGTCTTTTTCACTTATATGATATTTATTTAGTCCATTCCTAACCAATGGTGGACTTCACCACTTGCACTTCAATTCCCCAGTGAGACTTTCATTAAAGGGCTAAGTGACAGGCTATATTGCATTAATGGGTTAAGGAACAACATTTACACCAAAAAAATGAGCTTGACACATCTTAACGCAAAACCTTAAGGATTATTTTAGGAGAGGGCTACAGAACATCATTAGAATTTAAGCAGTTCAAGTCCATTTGACCAGAGATTGACACAATAAACAGAACTGTAGTACCTCTGAACTGAATATCATGATTCCAACTACAACTATGTAAAATAAATATTACAAAGTGTTCTGGACGAACATCAATGCAGGTTCTTTCTAATTTTGAGTGTCCTTTTTCTAGACCATTGTCCTCTATATATATATATATATATATCTCTGGCTTAGGTGGCTTAGGTAGTTATACTGAACGTGGGTAGTGGTAGATACTATCAAGTAATCATGGTAGGGCCCACCTCAGGTACTAATACGTGGAATAACTAACCAACTATCCGGGTAAAGGTCTTTCCGGGTTCACTCAGTCGGTTTCCATGGCTAATGATACCCGGGCATATAAACCCGGAACATTAAGCCCCCAAGCTCGGAGTTTAATAACTATTTTACTCCGAGTTTAACTCTTACCTTATCTCTTACGATTTCCCTTAATTATTATATATTTGTACCCTCATTAAATGCCTTTTGTCTATTCACCTTCTGATTGCCACTTGTCATGCTCTTACTGCCTTGATCTTCTAAACGGCTTGTCATCTGAACCGACGTGACTTGACATCTATCATTGCATTTCGAAATTCGAAAACACCAGTTGCTTTTTCTCCCTCTTTTATTACCATTTTACCTTTAACGTATCATCATTTACTCATTCTCACCCTTGCCTCTTCTTCTCTTCTGCGTCTTCTTCTTCCTTCTTCTCTGCTTTTTCTTCTTCCTTCGTCCTGCATTTTCTTGAAACTTTCTTGTAGATTTTGCTGTGACACTACCATCTTCGGCTACTACTCTCCACCAGATTGTACAAGTAAGTTCCTTTACTTTGATATTTGCCCATTATTTTCATCTTTCTTGCCTAATTTAACGATTAACTATAAAACTATTACTTGCATCTATAACTTTATCATGACAAATGCGTTTGTAAACGTATATGATTCGTTGAATTACTTCTTCCTTTCTTCCCCTGAAAAAGACTTTCTTTGTCCTTGTGTCTTCATCTTCTTTAGCGTTCCTTTACTGGTTTTTATGCTCCGGACGGATTAGGAATCTTATTGTAACAACCATTTTCTTCACTAGTCATTTTAGCTTGTAATATATCTTCTGAATTAGATTTTACTGGTACCTTTCCGTCCAAGCCATGCCGAAGAATCGCCCCCTACCGTTCGCTTCCCCCTTCTCGCTTCGCGGTACCTTCTACTGTAGAAGGTTTAGAATGGGTTGATGAAGAAACTCTAGGACTTCGTTCTTCTTATGAAAACCATCCGAGTATTCTCCACACCGCCTTGCAATCAATACCTCTATTCCATGATTTCATTATCACTTCTTTCCGGGTTGCTGTACCCAGAGAGGAAGAACGTATTTGTTCACCCTCTGGGCAAGGTGAGAATTCTTTCTTTTTTTGTCTATAAATGCTTATTTTCCGAGCTCAAGATACTTTCACTGAGTTCCAAATGGATATCTTGAATCATCTCGAAGTCGCTCCCTCTCAATTACACCCTAACAGCTGGTGCTTTTTACATACCTTCGAGATAATCTGTCGATCTTTTGGATTCACTTACTCTTTTTGAGTCTTTTTCTGTCTATTTGCCGTGTTCCGGAACGCTATTGATAAAGGATGTACTCGTCATAGTTGGGTTTCTTTAAAAGCTCGTCCCGGGCTGCGTTGGTGTACTATGTATGAGGATAACTGGAAAAAATTCAAAGAAGAATACTTCAAAATTTGTATACCCGAGGCTCTTCTTGCTACACCTTCTGCCTCTTCTTCTTCTTCTCAATCTGCTCCTCCTTCTGCTTTCTTTCTAGATCAAGACGGAGCTCCTCGATTTCCTCTTAGTTGGAACCGGCATCATTATACAACTTCTGCCAAAGCGTTTTTAACGAACTCCAAGAATCTGAGTACTGAAGAATATGAAACTTATACTTGGTTCAAAAAGCTTGCTTCCGAACTATCTAAGGAAAATATTTCCATCATTCCTCGGTCTATCCTAAATAATAAAGATTCTACTAACTGGGTTTGCCGAAAGCTAAGTAAGTAACTTAGATGATTCTCTTATGTTCTTATGTATATTCTCCATTTAACCTTATATCTGCTTTCTTCTGTGTTTGTGCTTTTCAGACAGGTGCATGGATCCTACCTTTTTTGCCCGCCAAAAACAAAAGGCTGCTCTGAACGAAGATTCGGTTGTTTCTGGCGACAAAGTCCTGCGTCATGACCACTCTTCAGTTTCTGGCGAGAAAGAACTCTCTCCTGCTCGTTCTCCTATGCCGGCTACTTCCGCTACGGGTTCTATTCTTGGTAACACTGTTGAGATGGACATGGAAGTTCCAGTTAATTCTGGGGAGCTCCGTCGCAAAAAACGAGTTCGGATTAATGAAGCTAGCCCTGACCCTTCTACTGATAAGTCTCTGACTCCTCCTACCTCTGTTGTTGCTACCCATTTTTCTGATCCACCTTTTATGAAAAAATTAAAACCTTGCTTTACTCCCGGGCTCCGCGAAAAATGGGATAAATTTTCTTTGGACCAACTCATTGCCAAATTTACCAACATCTGAGATCACTCTCTCTGAGAAGCCCACTATTATGAAATGGCGCTCCTGGCTCTAGCTGAACGCCAACAACTTCTTACTGAGCTTAAGGACTTACAACTTTTGAAGACCAACTTTCAAGCAGAACAAACTCGCCTGATCCAAAAGGCTGAAGCCGCCGATGTTGTTGCTCAAGACTTCAAAATCAAACTCAAAGAAACTGAAGATTTAGGAAAGAAAACAAACGAAGAACTTACTATTCTCAAACAAGACCATCAGGTGTTGATTGACGAGCTCAAAGTTTTGAAGAAGAACTTTGAAGATTCTGACTTCCGAGTAGCTGAACTAGAGCTAGAGGTAGAAAATTTGAAGAAAAATATCCTAAGTTTACAACAGGCTGTTGATGACATGGATTCAAAATATGTTGCTTTTGGTCATCAAATTCGAGGTTGGGTTGTAGACCAGGTGAAATTTTTTCACCCAGACTCCCCTTTACCTCACTTAGAAAAAATTGAGACTTTCAACTTTATCGAGAATGGCCGACTATGTACCTATGATGAAAAAGGTTCAGTTACTGTGCTTGCTGACTGCCCTTCCGGCTATATGGGCTCCACACCTGCTTCTGACCATGCTGCCTCTGATGACGTTCCAACAGACACTTGAAGGAGTGGGATGCCACTTTATGTTGTACTCAGTTTTATTTCCTCTGTTCTTGTAATGACTTTTTATTTTGTACCTTGAACTATCAGTCTATTTGGTATTTTGAACTATTAATAGTCAAGAACTACTACCAGTTTTTTGCTTTCCAACTGGATGCCTATGTATTCTAATATTCACTTACGCACTTATTTCTCGGAAAAACTAACTCGTAATCTTAGGCTTACTCGGGAATTACAGTTCTTTAAAGTTACTCAATGATGACCAATTTTTCCCATTTCCGAGTAGGAATTGGACGGGTGCCCAAGAGGCCCATTAAAGGCGGCAAGGGACTTTTGTTTTCCCGTTTCCGAGTAGGAATTGGACGGGTGCCAAGAGGCCAATTAAAGACGGCAAGTGACTTTTATTTTCCTCTTCGATACACACTATTGTCAAACTGGCTTTATTGAATTGAAAAATTGTCACACATAATAAATTCAAATTCACCACAACTTAACCACAAAATAGCTTCAACACCTAATCTCCCTAAACAACATACTACATACTAAATTCAAAGCATGATCTTCCTAACACCAATATTAAACTGCATCCTAATTAAAGTCAATAACTTGCTATCCGACTTCCTACTAAATCTTAGTTTCTTCAACTGAAATACCTTTTTAACTTGGCAACATTCCAATATCGTGGAATTGGTTTTCCATCCAAATGCTCAATCTGATAAGCCCCTGTCTTTGTGGCCACTGTTACCCGATACGGGCCTTCCCAATTAGCTACCATTTTTCCATCTCTTGCATTTTTATTCCCCACATCGGCCCGCCTGAGCACCAAATCTCCTACTTGGAATGTTCTTTTAACTACCGTCCGATTGTACCTC